GCGTAAATCCTTAATTGCATTCGCATTTGTACGATTACCTCTACTAATAGTAAATTGACTTTAAAATGGCCCGAAGAAACACCTTGTTGACGAATTGATAACATTCTACTGTATTCTCTCTTTTAGCGCCCTTGAAAGCCTTGAAAAGGCAGTTTCTCTGCAGGAGGAGGTGTTGGACACACACGACGAGTTGATACACACTCATCAAGCTATGTCGCTTGTCCTCAAGGGCTTGGGAAGAGAGGAGGAAGCTGAGAGGGAAATGGAACTGGCGGCGGAGAGTGCGAAAAGATTGGATTCCCTGGAAGTCCCTTTGGAAATCTTCCAGACCAGCGAAGAAAAGGAATGGGTGGTGTCTGATCCTGTACCCATTAGCAGCAGCCATGCGCAGGTGAATGCTGGACGTGACTGTTCACGGAAAAGCATAACTTGAAAAGCTTAAACCACTTGACAAGGACCAATTTATTGGCGAGCCGTTAACCCGCGTGATACGGACTGAAGTTCTCCGAGTATAGTAGTGGTGCACTAGGTCATGCAATGCCGAACAGTCTTGTAAGCAAACCTCGAAATGATGGTTCTGACGCATAAAAGAAAGATGAAGAGAAGTATTGCGGTGCTTAAAGGTGGACAAAACTTGAGGAGACTTTGAAAATGTTTTTTAGTTTGTTTGTTCCGTATATATTTCATTCTTGTTTTTACTGTTTGCATCTTTCGAGAAAAAAACTTACACAGGCAAAAGTTGTACAAAATTGTCTAGCAAACTTATTGTCATGCGAAACACAGTTACTTTTACGAGTATCATTTAGAAAAGTAAAGCGAGCAAATGAACGGACGAGTGAAAGTAGAGTAGTGTCTTACTGGGAACATTTTGACTGTTTTCCCATTGAAATTAAGGTCGATCGTTCCAAACGCAGAATCTTAAATGATATAAGACTCTATTGATAGTTAAACTAATATTCGCCAGCTTTTTGGCGATATACGTTATTCAAAGAAAATGGTCATCCGATTCGTCACGTTATCAGGTACAGTCCAAATAATATGTCAAGCCAAGAAGGGATGCCGAGTTTTATGATTGATATCAGGGAAATTGTCCAGTTCAGTGCTGCAAATTCAACTACACACATAGCGAGTCAACCATGAATTTCCTTTTACCTCTTGACTGAGGCCTTAAGTTGTTTAATTTGCTATTTATGCAATAGTTTAATATTTAAATTTACGAATTGCTATTCATTTTTATAAAATGATTTTCTTACAATCGATCGTTTTATGCACGAATGGATATTTTGAAATTTAATTACAAAATAAATATATATTTATGTCAGTCGAATCGAGACTTTATAAGTCCAATGTAACCAATGACAAGTTTATTAATACGTCATCGCATCATTACTGTCGTGTTGTATCATTACCGATCAGATGTTTAATCGCCTTTTCACCTCCTGTCACCATGGTGACAGGAGATAATGTGTCCACTTCAACATTATCGTTATAACTGGATGTTTTGCAGTGCTGATGGTGTCTTGTTTGGTTACCCCTCGCAGCTCATAATTTACATAAGATGATAATTCCTTTTAAAACAATGGATGACGTTTAGTAGCTTTGCAATCGTATCATTTAAAATCATTTAAACTTGAGACTTGTGCCATTCACCAGGCTCGGAACACAAATATATTTATTCTAGGACTTAGTCACGGGCTTAGTCAGTTCAAGGGAAAGACCTTTACTGAAGTTCATACATTGGGTGAGATTCTCAAGCTACACGCGTTTTTTGATCGAATTTCCCTTGAAGAAACCGTCGTTTTGAACGAGGCGCGCAAGAGGAACTAGTGCGGAACGACCCAACGCGAGAATTTGACTACCTTTTCAAAAGTTCCCCTTTTCCAGATTATTTTCTAGCGGAATGAAACAAAAAGCGGACTTGAGCTTTTCAGTGAACGAATTAAACCTAAAACAACTCTGTGGTCCGTAGCCTGCGGTCTGCAGTCTGCAGTTTGCAGTACTAGTTTGCAGCCGCTGTAAATGTTACACCAAAAAAAATTGAAGTTGACTGAGAAGCACTATGTCTAAAAAATCCATTGGGTGTTCCCTTCAGGGTTAATTCACAGTTTAATTACAAAAATGTTGTTACCATGAAGCCAATCCACTTCTAATCGCACGTGGCACTCCATCCACCGTCGGGAGTCCTGGAGAGATCCTTATCGGCCATTTTGACCTCAGACTTGGTATTCTGGCCTTCCCGCCGATGTTTCTGGAAATGCCGCCGAGTTCATAAATCATCTAAAAAACAAAAAAAAAAAATGATCAACTCTTTTAAGAGTCAAATGTGTTTAGCACTGCTATGCTAATTGAAGACACTGTAAATAAATAAACAAATATTTAAAATAGAACATAAACTATTAAGTATCCAAAATATGGGAGGCTGACAAGTTGGCTATTTACACATCGCGGTCGACGAGTTGAACTCAGGACTACCTAGTACAAATCCAGATAGCTGTAGGGTGGAGGATTTGAACCAGGGACCTCCAGATTTCAAATCCAGCGCCTTAAACCACATTTTATGAACTAACAACATTTTCATTCCCTAGTTATGTCAAATTAACAAACCGACGTTTGCTTTCTATGCGTCTGTAGATGCAATTTGTCGCAGGAAGATGTAAAAAGTTTGCAGCCTTTTAATAATGATAAACAGTCAAAGAGCGTGTGCGAAATTTACAGTTGCAGTAAGTAAAGTAAGCTTTTACGGCAGATTGTAATTAAATGGTTTTATTGTATGTCTACCTCCGTGAGCGGGCAAGATGAACCAAATCCTGCACTGTGATTGGCTACCCGAGCGGGCAAGATGGCGCTATCTTGCCCACTCGGGATTGGCCGCTGTGTCCCGCAAGAAAATAGTGTTTTTTTCCGTATAATAAATCCTTTCTTGACCAAGCTAGCTTGTTCGATCAAGATTGGCCTCGTTCTTTTTTTTGCGTGTTTATGGGACCTGACCTCCGTCTCGATCCATAAACACGCTCAAAAAAAGCACTTGGCGAATATCCAGCCATCTTGACGTCACGCTTGGTCAATAACTCATATGTATGGCTCTTCAAGGTTGTGCATTAATTTCGTTATTCAATTTAACCACTTTCGGACGGTACCAAATAAACCATTTTAAATAATGGACAAAGATGCATAATATACGTAATGTAATACAATTACAAACGACACGCTGCTAACGGTCAGTAACCTCAGCCCGGGGGACTTTTCCCAGGAAGTTACTCGAATCCACTACAAACGATGCACTCCGATATACACCTAGTCAACTACTTATACGATTTTGTTGTTGTGGTGGTTCTGACCGATTCTTTTTTATGCGGGGGAGGGAAAAACAGGGGGAGGAGGAAGGGGCAATTTTGACTTCCATGAATTGCTCTGTTTAAGAGAGGAAGTGGTGGAGGGGAGGGAATTGTCATCCCTTGGGCCACTTAACTCCTTGATTTTTAGTGGTCGAACCAACAAACAATACCATACAGAGAGCTACAACTTTTGTGCTGTATGTTCGCTTACGTCTGTGGTGCTGCACAATCGTTCAAACCAGGCCAAACCGTAAAATACTGTTCAATGTTGAAGGCTTTGATACGCGCTTTGCATAACAACCGTGACGTCTTAAAGGTAGCGTTTAAATAAACACTCTTCAAGTATTCCGTGTTTCGAAGTGTGCCAGGCGTGACTCTCGAGCGAACGTTGCCGCTTAAACTGTTCATGGCTTCGTCTGAGAGAGGCGTTCTTACAATTGGTAAGTACCTTTATCATTTTTCCTTCGACTGCAAAGGTACCCAAAGTACATTAGCAATCTGAAAGGGGTCTATTACATACATATTTTCTGTCTGCGAGCGACAATCACTACAGTTGTCACTATCGTCAAGTCCTGGTGATTTGTTTTACGCGAGACCGTTTTAAATGGAAAGCAATTTTCTAACAGATTAAAAAAAATTTATTATAACCGCGGCAAAAGCCTGTAAATATATATTTTGATGTCAAATGAGCGGAATCGTTATGCACAAAACAACCACGGACCTTGGTGCTGTGAGAGCAATTTACATAGCGGAAATGAAAAATTTCCATAATTTAGAATCTTCCTTTGCCATTGAGGTTTAACTAACATCTGGCAATAACTTTCAAAAGGAAGTAACGATCTTAACACGGTACAAAAAGCAAACAAATGACTGAATCCAGAAATTGCCTTGATTTTTAAAGTCGCATGCATGCTTGAATGCTTTTACAAAATCGGCAGAATCCTTCCAGTCGCAACACCCACTAACAACAAACTAAATACATGATTTGACATCTCGAAACGTTTATTACAAATTACGTTTTTAGTCTTTTACAATATCATATCTTTAACTGAGTACGAACCTTTTAAAGTGAATTGTACGGTGACCCACAAGTATCGATCTATCATCATCACGGCAGAAATATCAAGAAATGCTTTGCGCTGTGAGAGAAATTTACAAAGCGGAGATGAAAAGTTTCCCTATAATTTAGAATTTTCCTTTGCAACTTGGCTTTAACTAACATCTGACAATACCTTTCAAAAGGAGGTAACGATCTTAACGTGGTACAGAAAGCAAATAACGGAGTCCAGAAATTGCCAAGTCGCATGCTTGAATGCTTTTACAAAATCGGCAGAATCCTTCCAGTCGCAACACTCACTAACAACAAACTACTTATATGATTTGACAACACGAAATCGTTTATTACAAATTACGTTTTTAATCTTATACAATAACATATCTATAACTGAGTGCGAACCTCATTAACTGAATTGAGTCTTCGATGCTAAGTAATTATATGCGGATATGCCTGTTCTTGTATCAGTAACACGTAAATATTATTTATATTGGGCTCAGGCGTACAAAGGCAGTGTTGCACATGCGTCAAGCTGGTTAGACAAAAATACCTCTCAGCGAGCTGCATAAATCTATAACCCTTTCTTTTTTATAAGAATCTGTTAAAGAATATCGAGGTTTAAATTTGCGAAATAACCCCGAGGCTGAGGTTTTGTGTGTTGAAAATTTGTAAATTAATACAATTATAACTTTTTTTTTATCTAAATCGTATAAAATTCTTCCCTTCTCTACACTGCAAAACTAGCCAAAAAGTAACCAAAACAGCATTAGAGGTATATTCGATACTAATAACATTTTTGAAGGACGTTATGTACGTGATACCAAGCTTTAATGCCTGCAGAGTGACTAAAAAATTACTTAGTCGCCATCCAGACACCAAATACATTCGAAAACAGAAAAGTCACACGCCATAATCTAAGAATATTCACAAGCATATTTTCAGCCTATAATCGGCTGAAAAATAAGAATATTCCGCCTCGGCCGGAAAAAAGAAAAACAGTATTCTTAATCTTAAATGAAAAATAATGTGTATTATACTTAGTTAGCACATTTTGTGTTGGTATGAGCGACGTAAGGAAACTAATCACACTGACGTTTTCTTTGACTGAATATATCTTACTGTTTTCATATCAACAGCTTCTAAGCTGTCCATCGTCCTTACGCATAAACCACTTATAGAACAGTTGGCGTTATGCTTGGACCGAGACATGAGGTTAATATCGAACTGGAAAAACTTGGCGTGGGAAATGAAAGTCGATGAAAAGGTCATCAAACGACTGGAACAGTACAGTGACTTCAGTCCAACCATCCGATTGTTTGAACATCTTGAGGTCACGCAACCAGATCTGGTTATTGAACAATTAAGAAAGGCGCTGATCGAGATTGGGAGAAAGGATCTGTTTGACTTGCTAACGACAGAAGGTAATCATAAGTAAAGTGCTGTAAATGAATTGATTAACTTGTAAATCAAATTGGCTATATGAGCCACTGAACTCAGAACGAATGATCCACTGAACCGAGTTCATTTTAATTCAATGATCATTGGGTCTAATCCCAGACCGAATATGTTTTCTTATTATTTTTTAGCACATACACAATTTTTGTACAAAGTTTATAGAGAGTTGGTCTGGAAAAAATTATGGAAAGTTTATTTCGCTCGTTAGACATAATCAAATAATACCACAGTCGAACATCTAAAACAGATCTGCAAATTAGAAAATTGCCTCTGAAACAAATCACTTAGCGAGTAAATCGTGCCAACTCCACTTGAACAAGTTTATCAACCAGTTATTCGCAGGGAATCTTTGAGGGCAACAAAAAACTTTNTGTAAAGCAGTCTTGTAGTAGATTCGAAACTATTCATAAGGAAGACGACGAAAGCCTGCAAGTTATATTTTGTTTTGTCGCTGTCAAGTTGAGCAAGATCGTTGAACACAGCCGACCCTTCGTGACGTGATCGAGTGAAAGTTAGTTCATGAAGTTAAGCCGAAGAAAGCGGAAATATACAATTCTATTAAAATTTAGAGTTTTCCTTCGCAACTTAGCTTTAAACAATATTTGCCAACACCTTTCAAAAGACGGTAACAATCTTTAAAAAAAGCAGGCAAATAACCGAGCTCAAAAATATTAAACCTTGAATTTAGTGTCGCATGCTTGAACAGTTTTGGAATATCGTGACGAAATCCTAATCCACAACTTAACACAACAACACTCACTCTACTACTGACATTTGACAACACGAAATCGTTTACTAATCGCAGATTACCTGTTTAATCTTTTACAATATTGTTACTTAAACTTAGTGCAATCTATTGACTGTTCGTTGCTAAGTAATACACGGATATGTCTGTTCCTGTATCAGTTGCATTTTAATTAGAATTATATTGGACTCAGGATTGCGTTGGTGCGTCTATAGCTGGTTTAGAATTACATAGAAAGCCCGGGTTAGACAAGATTACCCTCATAGTGTTGTATAAATCAGATTTATACAAAGCTCGTGCTTTTTGTGGCGAGAGAACGTTTGCTGTGGCGGCACCAAGACTATGGAACTCGATCCCACTCGAACTAAGTTCTTCAACCGACAGTTTTAAAAGACATTTTAAAACATATCTTTTTCTTATAAGTTTATTCCTATTATCCACCCACCCCCTTTCTTTTACCTTTTTGATCATCTTTAATGTAAAGCGTCATGGACAATTAGTGGATTTGGCGCTATACAAATATTTTTATTACTGTAACATTTATTATTATTTTTGTATGAGCGACGAACGAAAACTAAAATATATTATTCCGGCTTCATCAGACTGACCTTTTCTTAGACTGAATTAATATTAATTGATTCCAATTGTCAACAGGTTCTGACAGAGGCTCATCACCCTCTGGTTCTAACTATAAGCTGTCCACCGTCCTAACTTGTCAACCATTCATAGAACAGTTGGCGTTATGCTTGGACAGGGGCATGAGGTTAATACCGAACTGGAAAAACTTGGCGTGGGAAATGAAGGTCGATGGAAAGGTCATCAAACAACTGGAACAGTACAGTGACTTCAGTCCAACCATCCGATTGTTTGAACATCTTGAGGTCACGCAACCAGATCTGGTTATCGAACAATTAAGAAAGGCGCTGTTTGAGATCGGGAGAAACGATCTGTGTAACTTGCTGACGACAAAAGGTAATCAAAAGTGAAGTGCTGTGAATAAATTAATCAAGCTATTCATATTCTGGGTAAGAATGAATCTTTTGCTTTGTAAAGGTCCTCGAGCTTGTTTCGGGATTGGGCCTCCGTAGTAAACGTTCTACATATAACGGTATGAAACACACCATGGCAACAAGCTCTACAGTCATCAGTCATCAAATAAACACCATGAACATCTGAACTTACTGTATTAGGAAACAAAAAAGAAAAAGAGAAATGTTACTCTGCAGTAAGAGGGCGTCAAAACCAATCCGATCATGAAAGAGTGCTATCTATAGCTAGAATAACAGCGTTCTCTAGTTTGCTGTCTAATCCCAAGACTTCAAAGATACTTCTAATTAAAACAACCAAAGATATACATATATATATTTTAAGATTCAGGTATTAGCAGGCAGTAATAATAATAATAATTAACAATTTATTTCTAGCGCATTACATCAGTAAAATCTCGACGCTCTTAGTACCATAATAATATCTCAGTACCAATCTCAGTACCATAATAATATACACTATACTGAGCGCTTCAATCATGTTTGGTACATGTCTTCGACAGCTGGCTGTGCTGACTCTGAAAAGGTCAGAGAAGTAATCACGTCACCAAATATTGAAGCTTCTTCACTTCGGGCTGGTCTTTTAGACGAAATCGCCTTAGCTCTGGATTCGACTTCACGGATTTCGGCAAACTGGCAAAAACTGGCAACAAAACTGGGCGTGCCACGGCAAACCTGTTCGGAGTTAGGAAGACGTTCAACCCAGAATCCAACCAACCAACTGTTCCAATATTTCGCCGCCTCTCGTCCTCAGATGACGCTAAAAGTACTGAAACAAGCTCTGCGTTCTATAGTTAGAAATGACTTGTTGGAAGTTCTACAAGACCTGGAAGGTGAGTGACCTGATTTGTAAGAGGGTATGCACTCTGCAGATAGATCCAGATAGAGTATCCGAAAGTTTCCATCTCACAGCTGTGTCGGACTGGACAATATTTTCAGTTGTTTTTGTCTGCATTAGTTGAAACGATTTTGGGAAATAACGTAACGCTCACCAAAGTATTGGAAAAACGTCATAAATGTAACTTTGTCATATGTTGTTTTAATTCAGATGAATCATTAATCAAGGATGTCATAACACCGGGCTCAGAACTCTTACAAACAATGGCAGTTGAACTTAATCGAGAAGATGTACCGGGTGTTAAAAATTGGACACATCTGGCTTCCAGACTTGAAGTCCCAAGTGATGTGCTTCGAGAGTTTGCTGGAGAGTCAACAGTAAGGAAAAGTCCCACAAAGGAAGTCATTCAATGGCTGGCCGACCGGTTTCCTGACACGACTTTGATTGATCTTGTACAAGCACTGGAAAAGATTCAGCGCAATGATGCCATTCAAATCATAACAAAGCAATTTCCAGACGCTGTTGGTTAGTGGCAAGAACTATCCTAATTTTTTTTTTTTTACTGCAGGTATCATGACTGAAACATACAGGCTTTTCTGAACCCCTCATATAGCTAATAGTACGCGTGAAAATTTCAAGGACTGAAAGCAAACATCCCCGATGACTCAATCAAAAGTACTCCGAAATAGAGCAGCTCGCGATCGCTAGAATTCCTGCACATTTTGGAATCTTCGACATTAAAAGCTACTGAAGAATATTTTTTAAAATGTCTGGCATTAGAATAAGCAAGAATGTAGATAATCTGCGTGCTCATGCTGTTAAAAAAGTAAAGATTGCATATCTGAGCTTTTCTGTTTTTAACACACGTAACTTTTAAATACGTTAAAGAGCTAAGCTTTAAAAGGCAATGTTATTAGCATAAAGATAGTTTGCAAGGTCCAACATGAAATGGATATCCCCAGTAAATAACGGCTGACGAAAACAAAAAGTGCAGCGGCATCTTTTGAAAACCACTGAATTTTGTTGTTTTCTAGATTCCTCCTTGGAGAGACTTTGTTCTTTACTGCATGACAACCTCAAAGTCGAGCTACCAAAAGATTCAACAGGCGTGACTTTCCCCGGTCGATACAAGAAGGAAGAACGCGTCTCCCCTCTTAAGCAAGGTAAACAGAGGAAACTTTGTACATTCTAGGCCTAGATCCTTTCCACTTATAGTATGGTATGGTATTGGTATTGACTTGGGTTAAATCCTACCTCGGGTAATCCTTTAGTTCAGTTTTATAGGGTAAATTTCATTATTTATTTCCCCTAGTTGTTTCATTCTTGATAATGATTCAACTTGATAATTTAACCATTTAATGATTTTGTTGAAACTGATGGACCCAATCTTGGACCTGTGAACGCGACACCGAACGAAGACGTTCTCTCCACTAAATTGCCTGTCGGTAAGGTCTACGTATTTACATTTCCAGTGTTATGCGGCCTCAAAAAGGCCAGACGCATAATCTTTAATCGTATTACTACTAACAACGTGTTGCTAAAAAATTTACTTTACGTTGTAAAGAAAACAGTTTTTTTTTTCCTGTTATTAGCAGCTTATTATCTTTATAGCTGCAGAAAACAAGCATCAGTCTGGTCATTGTGGTAGTCTACCAGATCGTACAGATTTAGTGGGTCGCGAAGACACTTGCAAACTAATTATGAATACCTTGACTTCTAACAAAGCTGTTGCAATTGTGGCGCCTCCTGGATACGGGAAAACCTCGGTGGTGGTAGAGGTCGGCCATAAGATGATCAAGAAGGGAAAGCGTGTTGCTTACGTCAATCCCCGAGGAGTGACCTGCGTGGAAGACTTGGGAGGTAGGATCATCGAGGCCTTGGGTGCGGTTCCCGGTGAGGATACAATACAGGAAACATTGCGTCGCATAAGGGCTTTGGAGTCCAAGAGCTTGCTGTTAATCATTGAAAATATCGACAACTTGCTACATCTTGAGGACAAAGCAAGCAACGAAAATTACTCTCTAAAATCCGGGAGATACTGTGCCAAAATGCGTGGAAAATACAAGAAAGATGACTTCTTGACATTTCTAAAGGACATAGGGCAATGTCCAACCATTCACCTTGCACTTACATCAAGGGAAACTAGCGTTTGCAGCGTATCTTTCTCGATTACACCGATCGAAATACCGTCTTTAAGTGACAAGGATTCTGCTTTTCTTTTTATGACACGAGACAATCTTATTGACGAACACTTGGTTAAGGATCTGGTCACAATTTGCGGTGGCATCCCACTAGTCATATGCACAGTGTTAGCAATTCTTCAAAGAGAAAATCCAGAGACGTTAACTCGAAGACTCTCCACCTGCTCTTCCCGCGAGCTTCTTGATGCACTTAGCCCTGACTATATACCAAATGAGGACCGTATTGGTCATTGTCTACAAGTATGTTTTGATCGCTTGAAAGAGGAAAATCAGGATGTCCTCGTACAAATCTCCACATTTCCGCACAGATTCACCCAGGAACAATTTCTTGCCGTGTTTCAATCAAAACTAGATTGCAATTTGCAGACATGTTTCGATTCCCTTAAGCATAGCAGCCTACTTCACTTTGACAGAGTGAGTTCTCTCTTCTCTCTCCATCCATTTATCAGAAGATTTTTTTCAGTGAAAACCAAGTACACGGACGCTAAATGGGTCTTTACTCGCCATTATAGTGATTTGGCTGTCACACTGTGCGACCAGTTTCTAAGTCAGAATTCGAAAACTGCTATTGAACTTTACAGGAACGAAAAGGAAAACATTCGAGAAGCCATGACATGGTGCGGAGATGATCATCCTGAGCTTGACCAAACAACAAGGGAGCACTGCATTCGCTGCTTTAACAAGTCAGCAGTGTTTCTTGCAAAAATGACGAGGAAACAAGAGTTTGAGTCACTTTTCTGCAGGCTTTCGTACCGTTGTGTTGATGATTTGCATCTGTACAGCGCTTGCTTGACAAACATTGGCCTGAAAATGGTAGTGAGCTGCATGTGCACACCTTGCATCTGTCCTAGAGCGCTGTATCGAGCCAAGGACTTTTTATCACGTGCAAACAAGATTCAGTCAAGCCTTACGGCCTTTGACGACGCTACTCGTGCCCATTGTCTGTGCAAGCTTGGATTCTGTTACGTTCGCGAGGGATATTTTGACAGTGGTTATAGTCTTCTCAACCAGGCTTTAGAATTGAGAAAGGAGCGTACGAAACATTCAACGAAGAATCAAGACAAGGTCATGCTGGCAGCTTGCCTCAACGATGTAGCAGGTTCAGTATATAATTCATAAGCCTTATTCGATAGCTTAACAAATAATACGCGCAGGTATTTTGCGAGTTGCGCAGTATCAGTACAAACGTGTTCGTGTCCTGTCGCCCTCACACTAAAATAGTTTTACTTTCAGTATCGTGTATTAACCAGTCACCTCGCTTGAAGTCTCTAAATTCTGTTTTTCGTTTCAAACCTCAATTCAAGCTATAAACATGCCATTGGTGTATATGAAGTATCTTTGTAGTTCAAACTCAGCAGCTCATGAGTTCTCTTCTACCACATTACATATTTGCTGCAAGTTTGTACCCAGTGCTCGCACTAATCGAGTTGGCATGTAATTAAAAATGACTAGGTTAATGCCATAATGCCATTACCCTAGATGTGATTTAAAATTCCCCCTCCACGTCTTCACCCTAAGCGCTATGCTCAGTTTCGGCTTGCAGTGTTCCGAGTCCCATCTATACTTCTAGGTGAAGAGGACAAGTTAAGTGTCTTGCCTAACAACTCAACTATCACTACGAAATGCTCGTTGTTGATTCAACTCCCTTCATCCCCCCTCCCCACTTGTCTTGTCTTCCGTTCCACTCTTTTCCCTCTCTTCCTCAATCATCTGTTACTCACCTACTTTTTTTTTGGTTAATGGACCAAAAAAGATCAACGTGACTTTTGAAGACTAAACGAAGCCTCTGTTTTATGAATTAATGAGATGTACAACTCAGATGAACTAACTTTCGAGCGAGCAACTAAATTAGGAATGGCTTAAATTTTATTACTTTAAGCGGTGTCGCGTTCGAGCGCGGTTTCCTAACTCAGTTCCATATCACTTCCAAGCCCGATTCCTTTCGACTCGGTTCGAACTCGATCCCCGACTCGACTTCTTACGGGATTCCTTACTCGATCCCCAACTCTGTTTATGACTGGTTTCCTATCTCGAATTCTCTTACTCGAATGTTAAATACCCTCTGAATTGCTTAGTGGTTTATCATCTACCAACATGATCTTGATTTTGTTTACATTTGACAGCTTCTCTGACACTGCAACGGAAACACATGGCCGCTATTCAAACAAGAACACATTTCGTGTTGCCTGTTTATGAATCAATCCTTGGTGACCACCCGTTTGTGGCAACAACTCTCAGCTGGATTGCCTTTAGTTACCAGGCTTTGGGAGACTACGACAACGCCATTGAATTTACCCGGCGAGCGCTTGAAATCCGAAAGCAACTGCTTGGACACCATAAGGAAACAGCGAGGTCTTATTATGATTTGGGCATGGCTCTTTCGGAAAAACAGGAGTACGAAAGGTTAGTTGTTTATTTGTTGTACAACCAAGCATTGGAGTGCCTTCAAACACTCAAAAAAGGAAGAAACCATGCAGCGTTCACTGAAGTTGTCACGTAAGACTTGAAACCTCTCTGGAAAAGATGTAAAATTTGCTAAACAATACGTTAGTCTAATTGGGAGACATTGGTTAGTCTCACAAGTAGAAATCCCATATAAATGACTCCCTCCCACCCCGCCACCGCAAACTACCGTGAAATAAATATTTGAAAAGAAAAAGGCTTTTTTTGGTGGGCTTATTCTGCGAGGGGGAGACGGAAAAGGGGAGATTATTTCAGTAAGGACATTTATTTTAAATATGCTAGCTTTACATTTGGAAGTGATACTGTGTCCGAAAAAGCCTTGGTGCATTCAAAATATAATGTATGGTGAGTGGAAAACACAATAAGGGTTTTATTACAAGAAAATACTGGATGCAGAAGAGTTATTAGGGGAGGGTTATTTGGGGGTTTTCATATGAAATGATCTCTTTCAGAGCCCTGACACAGCTGAAAGAGGCAGTTACTTTACAGAGAGAGGTTTTAGATACACCGGAGGAGTTGATAATCACACATCAAGCTATAGCGAACGTTTTCAGGGGCCTGGGAAGAGAGGAAGATGCCGAAAGGGAAATGGAACGGGCAGCGGAGTGTGCGAAAAGTTTGGGTCCCCTGGAAGTTGCTTTAGAAGTAAATGAAACCAGGGAAGAAAGTGACCTGGTGACTGCTTCCGTTTCACATTCTGAAGAACAGGGGGTCTCTAAGAACTCTACAGTTTGTATTGTTAGTTAAGCACTGAGCAGAGTCTCAACCAATTTTGGGAATTTTTGAAAATAGCTCCCGAAACCGACTGTCAGTCAATTGTAGGCGACAGGTTACCAACAGGTTGCCAACAAGCTACCGACAGGTTACCGACAGATCTCAAAAAAGAAGAAAGTTTGCTGTAAAGTAGACAGCAATAGAGTAATAAACCAATAAATAAAACGGTTTCAAAAACCTGAAAACAAATAGTGATACACCTCGTCACTAACTTATCGATCGATGGTCAGCGTAAAAAATATTGATCGAGAAATATTCTTTTAAAACTTAAGTTTATATCAAATTTGTAACTGTTTCTAACGGACAAGAACGTTTTTAAACCATTTAAGTCCGAAAGTTAAAGCAAAAACAACCGCGTATCACTTGCTTGTACGAATCGCCCTACACTGAATGCAATGCGAACCCTGACATAATTTGAGGGGGAATGGGACTTAGTTAACCTTTCCAATATGGCGTATTACCGACACCTTACCGACATCTTAACGACACGCCAACTGTCGGCAGACAAATTTTTTCGCGGGAGCTGCACGTTCTTGGCAATTACCATCACGGCTAAACTGACCCATCAGTTTCAAAGGAACAGAATCATAAAACCATCTACTAACAAACTCTTTTCACGTGACTCCGAAGATGACCGCCGCTCAGAATGTCGAAACGTCAGTGTAGAAAAATGCAAAGGTATCTCTTTCCATGTTTTTAAACAACTTAAAAACCGTAGTGTAAACATGGTGGCAACATTCCCGCCAAAATTCAGTTTGAATATAACGGTGGGAATGGTCACGTATTTACTTTTTTCTTTTAATCAGATAACAAGTAAAATTCGGGCTAGGTCAGGGTACAACTTCAGAAAACAGACCCGGTTGATTTGAACCACGCAATAAAAACATGAAACGCAATAAAATCAGCTGTGACTAACTTCATCTCATCGTTTACGCCTGTAATACGTCTGGTAAATCAAACTATTACCGTTTGATCAATACTTTAATTTACAGTGTACGAGTCATCGTGAAAGATGTCCGTTCTCTCCCGAACACGCCAGTAGAATTTGCCAGGAAGTGGCTTTGTTTTCCAAAGCTATATCAGTCCATTTGCAGGGCATGAACAATTCAGTTGACTGTCAAATATAACAGGTTCTATTTCCAAAAATATAACTTTTGCCCCCACTTAAGTCTTGATCAACACTTCACAGTATTAATTTTCGTTGGTTTGACTAGTGTCCAAATGATGGTGCTCCTTTTTCCTTCTGCCTCGCGACCGAGTGATGTTTTGTGAAACTTCCATTTTTACGCTGCAATCCACTGCTTCATCCTCAAACCCTTTCTTGTCTGTTGAATCTTCCTCCACTTCCATTCTCGTTGCATTTTCTCTACCATTTTTTCTTCTCTGCCTTCCTTTTGTTTTCTGAGTAGATTGAGTGTCCATTTTCTCCTCCAAGACACACTTCTCAGTAGCATTCCTTTTTTCTTCGTCGCCCTCTCGCAAATCTCTGTTTGACTTGAGAAGTGTAAGTTTATTAACTGGCGGAGCCTTTTCTAGGTATGCTTCAGGTACAGAGACGCCTAGAATTTCGGGAAGCATGTGCGGTTTCAGCCAGCCGACAAGCGGTGTTCGTCCACATGTATAATGCGTTCTTTTGTGGAAGAACAGCAGGCCATCGACCTAAAATAAAGTTGCACCAGCTATATGAAGTATTGGAGCTGCAGTGTGCGAATGGAGAAAAAGGCTGGGCAGAGAAGCCCATTTCAAGGAGAACAGAGAACGAGGAAGACCGATCGTAGGGGTCGGCAGAGGTGTAACTGCGGTGGTATAATGATGTGACCTTGGAAATGTGTCCTAGCATTACATTTTTACTATTTTCCGTTGTCTCCTTAGTTTTTTTTGAGAAGATATCTGAAACTCTGTATCGTAACAGGTGTTTCATCACAAAACACCTTGATGTTCGTCGTATTTTAACCATTTTCTCCGTGGTTGAAACTTTGATTAGTCCCCGTCTCTCGTGTTTGATATACATGTATTACCAACACAAATTCATACAGCTTACTTTAACCACAGACTTAGGCTTTTAATTACTCCCTTTTCAGAACATAAAACCGTGTTTTCACCACTGTAGTATTGTTGTTATCAACAACGCTGATTATCAAAACTTACGTTATCAATAAAATTCCCTGACTATTCCTTGACTTCAACAAGGAATTTAGAACTTCCCCAACCAGATACTGATTATCCTTAGCCAAACGGTTCTTTTGATCTCAACAAATTACTTTCCCCTGATTCATGCCCTGTTGCAACCCACAGTGCACCTACAGCTGTAGTGGAGTTGCCGTGATATGAGTGAAAGAAATCAAGTTTAAAAAAGTCTCCCTTTCACCAGCTGTTTTAGATACAATTAACATGTACATGTACCTCAGATGCTGAAGAAGCACCGGACAAGGCTTGTTGAATGGACGTGTCATCACAGGGACAATGAGGCAGACTGACAAACCTGTACTGACAAATGATGAACGGACACCGTGTGAGATCAAATCAGACAGTAAAGTGGAAGAGGACTTATAAGATGAACCACGGTATATGTAAAACAAATGATCAATCCACTTACTGGGTTTTGAGTGGACACTTGTGTAACTAATGGTTCTTCTTGAAGCTTTGTCTGTAGCCAGTAAAACCTAAAATCTGTCTGAACAATAATTAAATTTAAAAAAAAACATGATGTGTAGTCAATTCATGCGACAAATGCTACACTGTAGTCAAATCACCCAATAAAAAAAAAACAGTTCTAGCTGTTCACACTCAGAAAATAGATACATCCGGAAGTTAAGAATAAAACGCTCCTTAGCACAACACACTTCACTACTGTCATGTAATTACTAATATCTACTTAAAATTCACCTCACTGTCATACACTGGGTGACCTCTCCAAGACATGACATCCAACACATAAAATGTATTTGTTACTTCATTGAAGATGCAATCCAGAATGGTGTGATCTAACAGTGACCAGTAAAAACAACATAATTAATTATTACTGAGTGCTTGCATTGCTAATTAGTACAATGTACAATTTGCATTTAATTTATGCCAAATCCACAAGAATCAAGTAGCTGAGTTACATGGCAGTAAATCTCCTTTTAGTTGAATGTACATGTAACTAAATTTTAAGACAAAATACATGACTGTGATCATTCAATTTTTTCGTATGACAATTGTGTACAAATAATTTATTTATCACCATTATTTAATATGTACATGTTAGTTGAGCTGGGAACAGGAGAGATATTTCTTCTACTACTAAAACTGCTGTATGCTTGGTTTAGAGAGAAAGTTTTGGAAATATGTTACATTGCCAATGAATGCCATGGATGCAAGATCCTGTTTCAACTATGTTTCAGGTTGCATTAAGTAATAAACACAAATGGTACAAACTACTGATTACACACCTCCTGGTTTAAGAGTCTTTGGGCTTCCCCCTGGGAGTAATGAGGAAAACTTGTTCACTCTGTAGCCACTCTTAGTATAAGCAGCAGTAAACCCCTGCATGTATATTAAGAAAACAAAGAAAGTAGTGCTTCCTCTTATTTTGCTATCCATAACACTGGTGGCCAGGGTTTGTGCAGGGCCTCCCACTGGTTTACAGCTCTACTTTGGATGCCAATTCTTTCTGCATGTTTTTTGCTACCATGCTGTTCTTGTTCAGTTTTTCTTACAGCCCACCCCTTGCTCTTATCATGGTAAGTATGTGGTAAGTATTTTTGTTTCCACTTTTTTCGAGTGTGTACTGCTATGATACAACTGTTGGTACATGTATATTGAGGGCTTCCAGCACTGATAATAAGATAAACACAACATGGCTTACATTTGCAGCAATAACAAGATTTCTCCTGCCCATTGGACAAACAACCATGAACCACTCTTGAACTAAATCATCAGGAACATCAACAAGCCACTCTGATAACATAAGCTAACAACAAAACAAACAAACACCATACATCAATATTTCTACATTATTACTTTGCATATTGTATTCCAGAGCCCAATACACGAAGGCTAGACTGAATGAAGATCAATAAAAATCAATGTTAATTAATTTTATAATGGAGAGGTTAACAAGCAAATCATCAAAATGGCTAGATCTACAAACACAACACTGACTTACATGTATCATAGTTACCAAATATTAAAATATCTGTTTTCAAACCTGATATGCATAAGGGTTGAACTTCTTCTTGTAACCTCTCCTGTGATCTTTGTCATGTTCCTCTACAAATTCCATCTCCTAACATGCAAGTGAGCAAACAGTACTACATGTAATTAAAAAGAACTTAATTTTAAAACCTAACTCAGTTAAAAGATAATACCTCTGTCTCAATATCATCCACTTCTAAGGATCCCTCAACCAGTTTCCTTGCATAGTTCACAAAGTCTCGTCTGCGTCTGAAGACACATACACATCATTTGGCTGTATCTATTTATTACTCAACTTCAATCACTATAGCAAATCATTATTGTTCATGTACAAACCATATACACATACACCATGTACAGTGTATACACATAATATTATTAATATAATACTGTGTACGTGTAATAACAAGTAACTCTTGAATGAGACATCATTGTTCAAATTTATGACCAGGTCAACATCAGTGAAAATGTACAAAACAGAAAATGGCAAATAAAACAGATGAAAACAATGGAAAGATGACAGATTGCTTAATGGCAATGTTACTGTGGGTCGAGGTACACTGTACAGTGTACATGACTGTATTAAACAGGGATGCACTCAGTCGATCATAGGTTATTAGTTTACAGAAATTACCTACACTTTACATTGAAGGAAACCCCTACTCGAACCAAAGAAGAAGTAGTGACAGACAAAGATAACCAAAACCCCATTACTGTATTTGCCATACTTTTTCTGCCCCTCCAACATCCTTTGTCTCCGTAGAAACTGATCTGGAGTATTGCTGGGTTTTGTTTTATACTGTGCCATCCTGTTGACAAGTAAATAAACATCAGTGGTAATAATTACATGTATTTTCAATGTATCAATTGAAGGGGTGAGTAGAATAAAGCGCTACCTGCCTTTTAGAAAACGTGGAGGTAACCAGCATTGAAACACCTCCCATAAAGCAATTTATACAGTTTACTCTTGTCCTCATTATTGTCTACAAAGAGCTAGTAGTGTTTACTAGATTATTTGAGACAACAACTCAGACCATAGTAACCTGTGAAAATTGCTGGGAGGAATTTAAATCCTGGCTGCCTCAGAATTTTCCAAAAGTCACTTAGGGCTTTATATCTCCACACATCCCATCAATTTTATGATTTCTGCAACCACTTGAGTTAGTCAAAATTTTACAGTCAAAGCAATGTCTAATAGCACTTTAATTATATATTAAATAATCATGTTTTGATAAGTATTTTTCTTCAATAACAAACAATGGTTAGTTTGAATTAGAAGTGCATGGCAAGGTCAGACATCCTTGAGAACCACGCAGCTAATATAATACTTCATTATCCAACCTCACTGCTTCATTATCCAACACTTTTGGCTAATCGTCTACGTACTTTCAATTTGATCAACCAAACAGGGCCATTCCATTTTACATCGACTGACATTTCTCCTATTGAGAAGGTACATGTAAGTCATATTTTACTCCCTGTGATAGAAAGATCAAAGTGCTAACATGATCTCCCCCTCAGGAAATTTTTGTTTACCCAAATTTTTATTTGCTCCCCCCCCCNCCTCCCCAGGAAAAAAACAACTTTCTTCCAAAGCCCCTTCCTTCTTTCCTTTCTGCAACTAATTTACTATCAGTGACAGATTCAGGCGGGGGCAGACTAGGCCCTACTGGAACAAGCCTCAAAGATTACTGGTCTCATGTTTAGAATTCAGCTACTTTGATTCACCATAGCAAATACTGCTGAACCAAAATATACCAATTAAGCACAGTTAAGAATTTGTTTGTCTCCAAGTGAAGCTTGGAGACTTACCTCGGATGTGGAGCTGCAGTGTCGTTTGGTTCCGAAGAAACCGTAAATTGAGCTGCGAAAGATTCTGAAAGACCTTCCATCTTATTTAAAACAATAAA